CACACACACACACACACACACACACACACACACACACACACACACACACACCCCGGTTTCAGGAGCAGGAAAGAAGGCACCAGAGAAGCCGCTTCCAGCAGGCATTCTGTTTTCCGGGCTAATGAGATCAGAAACCAGCAAATCGACCCCATGACCATCTTCCCCAAATCGACAACAAAATCCAAGGCCACTTCCTCTCCCCGTCTGCCCCTGACCTGAAATGAGAAGTAGAAGTCTACTTCTGCATCAGCTGATGTGCTGCTGCAAAACAGCTGTTTGCATTTCTCCAGCCTCCCAAACTTAACTGTTTCTCTCTCAATGTGGGGAAAAAAAAAGAAAATCCATGCAGCACAATGCAAGTCACCAGTGACAACAGAGAAAAGACCTTGCTCTTGCTGGAATACCCAGAAGCCAGCAGAGAGAGAGAAAGAGAGAGAGAGAGAGAGAGAAGCAGTGAAGTGGATGAACTAAAAGAGAAAGTGGAAAACCATTTGTTAGCTTTATAATAAAAGCCTTTTAAAAACTGGTTAAAAGTTTAAGACAGTATGGAAAAGCCTTAACACAAGTAACAATAAAGGATGAATTTAACATAGAGCACGCAATAGATTCCTATTAATAAATTACTATCAACTTAATTCATTAATACCCACTTAATTAGCTACATATTAATACAGGACAGAACGTAGTGGGCATTAAAACAACTGTTCGTACAGCCAATATTTTAAATAACTGTCAATGGAGTATACCCTTTAAAAATTGTGAATCACTACATTACACACCTGTCACTTGTATAATATTGTACGTCAACTATACTTCAATTTTTAAAAAAAGGCTACATACTCTGCGGTTCCAACTATATGACGTTCTGGAAAAGGCAAAACTACAGAGACGGTAAAAGGTCAGTCACTGCCAAAGGTTGGATGGGAGTGAAGGTAGGAGGGGGATAAGTGGGTGGAACACACGGGATTTTTAAGGCAGCGAAACCATTCTGCAGGAGACTGTAATGGTGGATACAGGTCACGATGCATTTGTCAAAACCCATAAACCTGATGGACACAGAAGGAAGCCTAATGTAAGCTATGGACTATAGTTAATGAAGCCTAATGTAAGCTATGGACTATAGTTAATAATAATGTTCATTCATCGACTGCGACAAATTTCGTGCCAGGGGAAAACGATGTCTGGGAACTCTCTGTATTTTCTGCTCAGTTTTTCTGTAGGCCTAAAACTATTCTAAAAACCAAAGTAAGGACTTCCCTAGAGGTCCAGTGGTTAAGAATCAGCACTTCCACTGCAGGGGGTGCCGGTTCGATCCCTGGTCGGGGAACTAAGATCCCATATGCCGCATGGTACGGCCAAACAAACAAAAATGAAAGTATATTAATTTTTTTAAAAAACAGACATATGGGGCTTCCCTGGTGGCGCAGTGGTTGAGAGTCCACCTGCCGAGGCAGGGGACGCAGGTTCGTGCCCTGGTCTGGGAAGATCCCACATGCCGCGGAGCGGCTGGGCCCGCGAGCCATGGCCGCTGAGCCTGCGCGTCCAGAGCCTGTGCTCCACAACGGGAGAGGCCACAACGATGAGAGGCCCGCGTACCGCAAAAAAAAAAAAAACAAAGAAGACCTATGTTTGAATTCGGCCTCATCCCTTACTCACTCTCAAGCACTAATATCTCAGTAAATCAAACCCATATTTACTGAGATACTAGTACTTCTGTGGTAACTACTAGAATCCAAGCGATTAACAAGACAGAACAGACCTTTCCCTTATGGAGCCAAGAATCCCATTTACTAGCTGTAGCACTTAACCTATTTGGGCTACAGCTTCCCCGTCTGTAAAATGGGAATAGCAATGCCCACCTCTCAGATTATTGTGAAAATTAAATGAGTTGGTGTGGGTGGAAGCATCTAGAATTATGCCTGTAGCATAATGAGCATTCTATAAATATTTGGTGAATGTGAAGTGTGTGCAGTCATAGCTGACTTCACTAGCTGGATTTTTATTTATTTTATTTTATTTTATTTTGTTTATTTTTTTAATTTGGCCGAGCCGCACAGCTTGCGGGATTTTAGTTCCCCGACCAGGGATTGAACCCGTGCCCTCGGCAGTGAAAGCACGGAGTCCTAACCACTGGACCGCCAGGAAAGGCTCAGCCTGGATTTTTAGTGTAAAAAAAAAAAGAGAGAGAGAGAGAGAGAGCTAGAAGGTGGAGTGCTGGGGGCTGGGGATTGAGTCAGCAGCTTAGAAAATCTGAGGAGTACCAAGGAAAACGGCAGGAAACAGCACCGGGTAGAAGAGCTTCCAAAAAGGCCTGTGGGGGAGACCACAAATGTCCACTCAGGAAACAGAAACCCACAGAATTTATTTAATCAATGATAAAAAGCCACCGAGTCCAAATGGGCAAATTTCCAGGGAACGGAGGCACTAAGAAAAGAAGCAACTGGGTAAAAACATGCCCACGGGAGGGCCACACGTACAGGTCTGATACCCTCCTGGTCCCTGTTCGCAGACAAAACAACACACAGGACAAATTCCCCAGAACCCAGTTTATCCACAAGATGTTCCAGGCTCTCGTCCGCACCTAAAGATCTTTATGGTATGCTGGCGCAGCCAGAGGGCTGCCTCTGGCTAATTTGCAGGCTGATAATTCCTAATTAATTTACTTTCTTATAATCCTTTTATAGAGACAATTTCCTTATAAAGAGATAAAGTCCTTGCACTATGAAGTCGGGGCAAAATTTGAAGGCTTGATAGCCTAGAAGCTATCACTGCCAAAGAAATCCAGGCTTCCCATCACCCCCACACTGGAACATTTTGGTGCCTAGTGGGGAGAGGAGAAAGCCAGGTGTGCACCAAACAGAAATCCCCGCGCCCACCCACAGGCTGACAGGCAGGGGCTCACCGGGTGGACGTCCAGGAACAAGGAATGCTCTTCTGGGTTAGGGTGGAGGCCAGACACTGCCTCTGCCAGGACTGGGTCAGCGTTGTAGAAGTGAGGATGGGAGAGAAATAAGGGTGCGTCTAGAAGGCAGAGGGGCAGAGAGGGGATGTCAGACAAAGGCAGCATGTTGGCACATCCAGAGACCTGCCCCTGTCACACCCTGAGCTGGGCAAGGGGATGCGTAGGTGATGAAACACAGCCACTGCCTGCAGTGCACCCCCCTCATGATGATGACAAGATACAAACAACAATAACTAGACAGAGAGCATTCGTTCAGTCTGCAAATATTTACCAAGCGCCCAAGAGGCACCAGGGACTGGAACCCACCCAGCAGGGGACAAGCTCGGTGCCACAGGAAGGGTAACATAGGAGCTGCTGCTTCTGCCAGGAGACATCAAAGGAAGGAGAAGAAGCCGGCTCAAAGATGCCAGACAGAGAAGGTGAGGGAATGGCGTTCCAGGAGGAAGGGATGGCAGAAGCCAAGGCAGGGAGGTGGGAAATGCGCGGTGCATGTGGAGCAGACGGCGCCCGGAGGGGAATGACGGCAGCAGACGGCGCCCGGAGGGGAATGACGGCAGCTGAGGACAGAAAGACTCGGACTTGGGTGAGAGGAGGGGCATCTGGACCGCCAAGCCAAGCAGCCCGGACTGTCTTCTGCAGGCGACACGGCAATGATCAGAGATGCTCTGGTGTGCACACCTGCAGCCAGGTCTCCCTAACGTCCACGGGAGGGGAGAAGACACGCCTGTTTTGCTCCTTCTCTCCCAGCAGCTGGTCTGTGGGAGGGACGCCAACGTGTGAGAACAGGGACTGACCTGGGTCCCTCTGAGTGGGAAATTCACACCCAGACACCCGAGGCTGAAGGTCTCCATCAACTGACCAAGCGAGGCAAACGCCAATGCATGCTCGTGTGCTCAGGACAACACACAACAGGCCTGATGGACAGCAAGTCAACGGGGAAAAGAATAAGCCTCTCTCAAAACTGACGAGGATCAAGAACCGGCACATCAGAGACAGAACGCAGACTGGCGGTGACAGGGGCCGGGGCAGAGAGATGGGGAGTGAGTGTAAATGGGTACGGGGTCTCCTTTTGGGTTGATGAGAATGTTCTGGAACTAGATTGTGGTGGTGGCTGCACAACGTTTTGAATGTATTAAATGTCACTGAATTGTGCACTTTAAAATGGCTAATTGCGGGGCTGCCCTGGTGGCGCAGTGGTTGAGAGTCCGCCTGCCGATGCAGGGCACACGGGTTCGTGCCCCGGTCCGGGAGGATCCCGCGTGCCGCGGAGCGGCTGGGCCCGTGAGCCATGGCCGCTGAGCCTGCGCGTCCGGAGCCTGTGCTCCGCAGCGGGAGAGGCCACAGCAGTGAGAGGCCGGCGCGCCACAAAAAAAAAAAAAAAAAGGCTAATTGCGGATTAGTGAACTTCACCTCGATACGAAAAAAAAAAAGAAAAAACAAAACTCACAAGGTCTTCTTCCCTAAAACCAGCAGCCCATCTGCTGCCAGCCAGGTGACCCGCATTCCTGTTTCTGTGTGTCTGGCAACCTCAAATGTCTAGATTCTTTCTGCTTTTCTTAGCAAAGCCAAGCACTGGTTTGGAATAAAAGCTGAGATTTAACTGCTGTCTGACTTCAGTTTTCCCAGAGTCCTTTTACATTCATTGCCTTAATGCTTCTCAACATTAATTTATTCATCCTAGTACCTCTTTGATGTGTTGCCATATTCAGCTACCCCCTGCCCTGTTACACAATGTGCTTCTCTGAAGCAACTGCTATTGCTCTACATAAACAGCTATATTTTCAAGGACGAGCTTGCTATCTGCGGCATACCTGGCAAACACTTGCCAGAATTAGAAAATAAATATAGGAGTAAATACAATGCGGATGAATGAATGTTGCAGATTCTAACGAGAGACTGTTACCTACGTGAGACTTGGACCCTGAGACTTTCTCTTTCTCTGTCAAAAAGAAAGACAGACGAGTGTTAGACAGGTACTTTCTTCTGGAAGTGATCAGAAGGACAGAGAGAGAATGGAAAGCAGAAGACCTCTCTCACCACGTAAGTCAATGTTATATAAAGCTACGTCTTTGGATCTTTGAAGTCTTGGGCACCACCAGGGACAATGTTTCACAATTTGGAAAACGCTGTTTCCCATTCTCCCATCTCACTGTGAAAGGAGATCAACAGAGCAAACACAAGGACCGCCCCCCTCCCTCGGTAAGGGAAGCAGTCACCGAGCCAGGCCCTTGAAGGCGGCGCATCTCAAACAAGGTCCATCCTGCCTCCAAGGCCAGGGTGGCAGGGTTGGGGGGAGACTGACACGGGCTGGACCAACTTGCCGTCACCTTCCCTTGCTTCAGCTTGCTTGGTTGTTTTTTTTATTAATTAATTTATTATTTTTTTTGGCTGTGTTGGGTCTTCGTTTCTGTGCGAGGGCTTTCTCTAGTTGCGGCGAGCGCGGGCCCCTCACTGTCGCGGCCTCTCTTGTTGCGGAGCACAGGCTCCAGACGCGCAGGCTCAGTAGTTGTGGCTCACGGGCCTAGTTGCTCCGCGGCATGTGGGGTCTTCCCAGACCAGGGCTCGAACCCGTGTCCCCTGCATCGGCAGGCAGATTCTCAACCACTGCGACACCAGGGGAGCCCAACTTGCTTGGTGTTTTAATAGCATGCATGCATGTACGTGTTTCTTTCTATTTTATTTCCAAACAGACTGAGAGACAACACCCAAGTAATAAATGGTAATTCATTTATAGCTTTATGGCGCATCTAAGCAGACCTAATGGCCCGGGATCACCACAGATTAAGGGCCTCCACTGAGCAAGCCTCAGGACCCTACACAGCACAGAGGTTGGAGGAGGAAGAGTTCTCTGGGTCCGAGAACTACTCAAGGCCCAGCAAGGGAAATGCCACAGAAATACAGACACAGGTGCACCCAAAGACACGTATGAGAGAAAGTTCTTAGCAGCGCTGGGGTAACTGTCCACAAGCAGAACCCCGTCGGATGCCCATGAAGAGCAAAAGAGGTAAGGAAATGGAGGTGTGGTCCCACCGTGGAATACTATATAGCAAGGAAGAGGGCACCCACGACCACGGGGACGGACCTCACCAATGCAAAAGTGGGCGAAAGAGGACATAAGTAGAGAAGAAGGAATATATGCTGTAGGATTCCGCTCACATAAACACCAAAGGCAAGCAAAGCTGTGCTGCCAGCAGTCAGGCCAGTGACGGCGGGGGGGAGGTCACTCCTGTCCTCTTTCCCCATCACTTGGTGGAATCTCAAAGTGCACGTGTCAGTTGGGCCTCTCCCTGTATATACGTCTATTTCAACGTAAAAGAAAACTTTTTATTTGCATAATACATACATAATTCCCTTGCACTTCTGAAGTTCTTTAGGCACGTGTGCTAAGATGAGGCCGTGCGATGTTCATCCCTAGCCCTTGGCAGTGGGTGGCTATGTAGTTTCTGCCTGTCCAGCACCCACTCTTTCTCCTGGAACCTATACACCGAGAAAGCCCCTCCCCTATTTTCAGCCGCCTGTCATGTGGGTGCTGGCCCCACCCACTGGAGCCAGGGGCTGAGCATGTGACACAGCCTGGCCCATCAGCATAGGCCACCCTTGGCCACTTACTGGTTCACAGCTGGTCGTGTGATGCAAGCCAGCCCAATCAGAGCAAACTCTAGAACTTTTGCTGGAGTGAAGAGGAGCCAGTTGTCCCCTTTCTGCAGGACCCAGAGCTGGGAGGAGGTGAGCCTGGGAGGGGAGAGCCTGCCTCGCAACAAAGCGGTCTGGAGGAAAACTGAGCTAGTACATGGCGAAAGGCAGCTTCGGACAACAGCTGAGCTCTAGAGCTATGCCTTATGCAAAGGTGAACCAAGAAGTACCCTTTTAGGCCTAATCAGGCTGGTGTAGCACCTGCCACTTACCACGGCAATCGTGTAGCACACAGCCCACCAGGTGTCTGCACTGTCAGCCCACCTACAAGCAGAAGTTCCTGTAAACACCACTGAAGAAAGAATGAAGCGAACAGGGAACAAGGGCAGGTGGGCCAGAAGAGGCCACGACAGAGGTGGGCACTTCCAGGCCCCAGCTCCAAACCCTTCACCCACGGAGCACCTCACTGCCTGAACTTGGGGAAACCATCCAACCTGATGGCAGTCCTTCCTCCCAACCCTGCAGCAAACTACCCCTCCCAAATTCCCATCTCCAGCTGGAAATGTGGTTCCAACCAAACAGGCCGCAGAAGGCGAGACCTCGGAAGATAAGGCGTGGCTTCTTGTCCTACCAGCTAGGGTGTCACACCCTAGCCTCGAGCCTCAATTCCCTCAGTGCAAGGTACACCCACACATCCATACGTTCCCATACTGTGTGAGCACCCACTACATACTGGGCCCAATTCTAGAAGCTAAGGACAGAGTCCTGCGTGGAGTATTTACAAACCAATACAGGAGACAGACAATAAGTGAAATAAAAGACACACTCAGTGATTTCGGGGACAATCAAGGGTGAAACGACAGGAGCAGCTGGGAGGCGGGGCAGGGGGGCAACTTCAGGATGGAAATCAGAGAGCAGGCCTCCTGGAGGAGGTGGCATTTGAACAGACCAGAAGCGGGTAAGGGAATGATTCACACAGATCTACAGCAGCCTGGGGAACAGCTGATGCAAAGGCCCTGAGGCAGGACCAAACGAGCTATATCCTAGAAACAGGGAGAAGGGGCGGGGCTGAAGAACATCAGTGGGGAAAGTACGGGAAGAAATGACATTAGAGAGACTGGCAGAGGCCAGATCCCGACGGCACTGGGGCCTCTGTAGGGATTTTGCTCTACACGCACGGGGGGCTAGTAGACATTTCAAGCAAAGGACTGGGTGGCAATCCGAGATTTTGAAAGGTCCCCTGGGCTGCTTGCTGGAACAGTGTCCAACAGAACTTTCTACGATGATGAAAATGTTCTCTTTTTTCACTGTACGTCCCACAGGGCAGTCACTAGGCACGTGTGGGTGGGAATCATTTGAAATGTGGCCGGTGCAAGGAACGCACTGCCTTTTTTTTTTGTTTTTTTTTTGTTTTTTTTTTTTTTTTTTTTTGCGGTATGCGGGCCTCTCACTGCTGTGGCCTCTCCCGTTGCGGAGCACAGGCTCCGGACGCGCAGGCTCAGCGGCCATGGCTCACGGGCCCAGCCGCTCCGCGGCATGTGGGATCTTCCCGGAC